TTTCGCATCAGATCAGACTGAATCTGATCAGTTTGACTTAGAACCAGCCTCTTATGAAGAGGCTATATCTTTCAAAGAATCCCCTAAGTGGATTGCTGCGATAGAAGATGAAATGAACTCACTCTTTAAAAATGAAACCTGGACTTTAGTTGAAAAAACCCAAAGATTGTAAGTTGATTGACTGTAAATGGGTTTACAAGATTAAAGAGGGTGAGACAAAGGTTAGTGATAAGAGGTTTAAGGCAAGACTTGTAGCTAAAGGCTTTAATCAAAGGGAAGGGATAGATTACAACGAAATTTTTTCACCGGTTGTTAAATATACATCCATTAGAGTCCTACTTGCTATAGTGACACAATTTGATTTGGAGTTCAAACAACTTGATGTGAAAACTACCTTCATGTATGGTTCTTTAGATGAAACCATACATATGACCCAACCAAGAGGGTTTGAAGTAGTAGGAAAGGGAAACTTAGTGTGTCAATTAAAGAAATCCTTATATGGCCTAAAACAGACCCCTAAGCAGTGGTATAAAAGATTTGACTCTTTTATACAAGGCTTGAACTTTAGGAAATCAGAATATGATCCCTGTTTCTATTACAAGAAAAAAGGGGAATCTGATTTTTTCTATTACAAGAAAGAAGGGGAATCTGCTTTTGTGTGTTGATGATATGCTCCTTGCTGGTCACAATTCTGTTACACTTAACTCAATTAAAGAAAATCTAAAATCTGAATTTGAAATGAAAGATTTAGGACCAGCTAGAAAGATTTTGGGCATGGAAATAAAAAGAGATAGAATAAATAGAAAGTTGTTTCTAACACAAAAATCTTATATTGATAAGGTTGTAAAAATGTACTCCCTTCATGAGTCTAAGCCTGTAAGTTTGCCTCTATTTGCTGGTATGAAACTATCTGTTGGTCAATCACCTAAAACTGAAGAAGAGCATAAAAGAATGATAAATGTGCCTTATTCTAATGATGTTGGATCTGTGATGTATGTTATGGTTTGCTCTAGACCTGATATTGCTTATGCCGTGAGCGTGTTAAGTAGATTTATGAGTAACCCAGGTGAAATACATTGGCAATGCATGAAAAATCTGATTAAGTACTTGAAAGGAACAAATAACTTAGGTCTAATGTTCAAAACAAATAAAAATGGATTTAGACTCAAGGGATATGTAGATTCAGATTTTGTTGGTAATCCGGACAATAGGAAGTCCACAACTGCATACTTTTATGTAATAAATGATACATGCATTAGCTGGAAATCTCAACTTCAAAAACTTGTTGCATTGTCCTCAACCGAGGCTGAATACATTGCTGCAACGGAAGCAGTGAAAAAAGGATTGTGGCTGAAGGGTTTACTCGGTGAATTAGGTCTTATAAAAAATCAGGTGGAACTATGTTTAGACAACCAAAGTGCTATTTTTCTAAGTAAAAATCTTATCCTGCATGATAGATCAAAACATATAGATGTAAAGTTTCATTTTATTAGAGATATCATTGATAGGGATGATATTAGACTAATAAAAATACTTACTAAGGTAAATCCAGCAGATGTCGGAACTAAGGTAATCCCTATTAGTAAGTATGTTGATTCTTTAAGATTAATTAATCTTGAAGAAGACTAACTTCCATTATTTTTGTTTTTACAGGTAATAAGAGCAAATGAAATTGAGGTATAAGCTTAAATCCACATTAAAGTAGGCACAAAACAGCAAAGGTGGAGAATGTAGAAATGGGTTGCTGTTTTTATGTGGAAGCCCAGCCCAAATTTAAGGACTTAGCTCATACCCGATCCAATGACCCAAAATGAAGGAAGAATCTCAAAGCTTGAAGTGGTTTTGAGAAAACGCGTTTTCAGTTTTAAAATAACAACTTATACTAGATTTTTGACACTTGACAAAATGGAGACCGTTGGATCAAAATGGGGCATCTCTCTTGTAAAAGGGAACTCTAGGGTTTCAGGCTCTCTCTTTCGCGCAGCTTCTATATTTTTCATATTGTTCTCTCTGTAATGAGCGATTCTCTCTTGGATCTTTGTGTAGATTTCTGTAAAGAGATTGAATCTTTATGAACTCTTGTGTGAGTTCAATTCGGTGTTGAGGGTTTTGATAGTTGCTGTGGTTGGAACTGTGTGTTCCGGTTGTAATCGAAGTTTGTGGTATTTGGCCGGTGATTTTTAGTGGATTTGAGCCTATTCCTTATGGATGTTCAACGAGGACTAGGCGATTTGTTAAATCGCTGAACCTCGGGGTTTCGGCCGAAAAATCTTGTGTTCTCTTTACTGTTTTTTCATATCTGTGTCTAAACTTGATTTTTGCCTCGAACATTTTTGGGTTTTCATACTTTCCTGAACCTACATCTATTATATTTTCAAATTCAAGCAATACAGCTATTTAAAAATGCACACATGCATAATAAAATTACATACACATGACACACTTTATACAGGGGTGCACGATATTAGTGGGATAGAAGGTGAAGGGGTAAATTCTCTTGTTTCTTGGTAGTGCGTGGAGATTGGTGGCAGGTGGTGGTGCATAAAGGTGTTGATGGATGATGGTGTAGTCGTGGAACTAGCCGTGTTTGTGTTGATGATTAGGGTTTGGTGAAAAAAGAAAGAAGATGAAGAGGTAGATCGTCGTGGTGGAATATTTCGACCCCATTTGTTGTTGTGTTTATTTTTTATTTTTATTTTTTCGATTATGAGCCTTGTATTGGTGACGGCAATAGTTGCTAACCTTGTGGTGGCGTAGATGTGTGGGTGATGATGAGGCAGTGGTGTTGACATTGATATGGTGCCAATGGTTCGGTCCGATTTTGGTGCCCATTTAGGAGTTAGGACCACATAGACCCCATACATTGATTTGAGATATTAGTAACGTCAATATCAGTCCATTCAATATTAGGCATAATAAGTATAAGGCCCTCAAAAAATCACTTTTCGTCCTATGGCATAACACGATATGTTACAGATATGTTCTAAGTGGTGGCGGTGGTGTAATACAATTGCAAACGCACTTGATAGTTTGTAATTTAATATAAAATATTGTAACCCGTGTTATAAAATGTAGTGTAGAAATATGAAAATAAAGAAAGTAGTATTTTGAGAATACTACTGTGTACAGTGTCGTCCAACTACACATAACAAAGTGTCTCATGTCTATTTAGTTGGGAATCATTGATTGAGCCGAGGAATTATGAACTTACCAACTTCCAGTACACATTCTAACGCCGCATTTACTTCTCCAACAATGTAGAAGTTGGTATTGTTGGCCTATTTACACCATCACATGAGAGTATTAAGGCACATTGATGGCGAGTGAGATGGATCAAGCCATTTAATTTGAGAATGCTTGACATTTGTTTGGCTCATCCCAACTTAGGACGAGTATGTCGTGAGTTGATCAATATGGAGAAGCGAATCATTTCGATTGTTTGAATGGCTCAACTAAGAACGAGTCATGTCATGAATCTATCAATATAGAGTGTATCATTACTGTTTGACTCTATACATCTGTCATATACATGGATCGACTTGCAAAAGTAAGTAAACTATTGTGTAAAGTTACTCACCCACCGGCCCAACAAAGGATAAGTTACTAACGAATGTGAATAGTGTTTGATCTCTAAACAAGTCGTGTCAAGACTATTCGAAGAGGGGGTCGATCTATGGAGTCTTTGTGAGTGTCTTGCATTATTCCAAAAATGATATTGCAGTGAAGTACTCACACACGCGTTCACACAGCGTACGTGGTAGGTAACAAACAGCAACATCATATGCATATAATTATAGAAGGCCATCAACATCCCTCACTCTATTATTATTATTATTATTATTATTATTATTATGATTGTTCTTCTTCTTCTTCGTGGTGCAGGGGCCGCCTCCTACCACGAAAGTTCTGTAACTTGTTATCTAAACTTGAAAAATCTTGGTTTGAAGGATGGTTTGAGCTGTGTTTTTTTCTTCGAGCCCGTCCATACCCATGACTCGTGAGCGTGACACCTCTAGACACCAATAGTGTTTATTGAGTCTCGCTTGAGCAAGTGATTGGTAGGAAAAATCCCGCTCTTTGGAGTTCTCAAAAGCACTATATTGAAAATATTTTTAGAGAGACTCTTTCAACTAATTGACAATAACAAATACACTCTTCATTGTTGGAAAATACAAGTCATGTGTCGTCCATGTGGGTGACTTGATCCACAAGACATCAAAATGGATTGGAGGGAATGGTTTGAGCTTCATTCCAACCCATAACTTCCATCAACCCCATTACCTCCATAACTCCAAAACAACTCCCATAGCTTTGTCTAGCAATTGAGGTGAGAGAAAAGATGGCATGAAAATGGTGTAAAATTCATATGTGAAAATACATCAAAATTGAAAATGACCTAAAATCACTATTTTAGTATGAAAACTCACAAAATTAGACACTTAGATTATGAATAATAAATAATTTCCTTCCATAGTGATTGAGGTTGGGACCATTGAAAAAAAAAATGCAAATTTTGGAATTTTGAAATGCAAAGTTATTCAATCACACAAAGATCTTGGAATTTATCATTTCAAGTAAGAACCTTGACCTAGAGTTATAGTTAAAAAATGTTGCGAATTCTTGCATTTTCAAATATCACACATACCTCCTCTAGGCTAAAATAAATATTTCTTTCCTATTTTATCATTAACGTTATATCAGATTTGGAACATTCATTTTTCTTAATTTTATTTACATAAAGAGAGTATCTTTTAAAACAAACCTCTGAAGAAGTTTTCGTGATTTTTGAAAAACATGGAAGTCGAGTGTCTTTTCTGGTGTCTCTGTTCTCTAACATCTAGTTATATTTACGGAATAAAGTTGTGGGTAGAAACCACCTTGCATATGTGACTCTAAAGAGATTGTTAATATTCAAAAACAACCTCAGTAGCAACATTATTTATTATCATTTATTCAATATAGCAACCGTCCCCACCGCCACCCCCGTCTATAAAAGGAGAGCTGCAACTTCCATTTAGGTGTGTCAAGCAAGGAGAGGAGAACCCTTAAATTAAGAGAACATTTATAGAAAAATGGCTAAGTTATTTATAATGTTTCTTCTTGCCCTTGTTGTAGCTCATGCAACAGCAAGAGTTGTGTCTGTTGACAAGGGTCTGAATGAGCAAAAGAACATCCCCACGTTCGGCGGCATCGGTGGTGGTGGTGGTGGTGGTGGTGGTGGTGGTGGTGGTGGTTTGGGGGCTGGAGTAGGTGCAGTTGGCGGTCTTGGCATTGGCGTCGGTGTACTCGGTGGTCTTGGGGGTGTAATTGGAACAGGGGGACTTGGCGGTGTTGGTGACAATGGTGGCTTTGGCGGTGGAATTGGTAATGGCTTAGGTGGAGATGCTGGCGGTGACGGAAACGCCGGTGCCCTACCGAACCCTTGAAGCTTAGTTATTACTACAAATATTAGCCTTCTATGGCTTAATTAATCTAGTGTGTGATTGTTATCTTTGTTGTGTTTTAAGGTTGTATCTGTTACTTGGGTAGCCTGTTAAAACTATTTTGCAGTCTGCTTCGTTTTATCTGTATGCATGCATTTGAAGCTATCAAAAACATATTTGACAAGCTTCAAATTGAGACTTTATCGTGTCTTTGTATTAAGAACAAAAAAATAACAAAATACTTTAATTCCAATATTGCAAATGAACCAAATTTGATTAGAACCTTAAACACCAGTGTCTATTGTTAGTTTTATGCTTTATATTGAAATATAGTTAGACATGAACGATCTAATGAGCATTGATGAATTTATTTGACACATCACCGGTACTTAACAAAGACGAAAACCCCGATTGGTATTACAGCATTGCACGACTCCAAGACACACAGCCAGTTCTCATTCCATGTGTATGACCATAGAAAGATATAGAGGTGGGCGTGGGCCGATTCGGTTCGGTTCTAAAGAGAACCGAATCGAACCAAAATTTTCGGGTCGGGTATCTAGCAAATGAAACTGTCGGTCCAAATATAATTATGGAACCGTTCGGGTTCGGTTCCGTTCGATTCAGTTCGATTCCGTATTATAATTAATTTTTTTAATATTTACAACAACATTATATAAATATAACTAATGACACATTCAATTGTTGGAATGTCAGAGACTAGTAGATTACCTTGTTCAAATGATCGCTACGATCAAAATTTCGGTCGGCGGAGGTCACACGTCAACCGTCGATTGTATAGGTTTTGGAATATCAGAGAGGCTGCGAGAGTGAGTATGAGAGTCGAGAGAGCATTATGCACTTTAGTGTAGCTGTTTAGGGTTATTTAGTGAGTTAAATCTTGTTGGGCTAAGAAATGAAACAATAAAATGGGTAATTGGGCAAAAAATTAAAAAATTAAAAACGAAACAAATTATTGAAACAAAAATTTGAATTTAGAAATTGTTAATTTGTTACTTTGTTTAAAAAAAATTATAATTAAAATAATTTGATTTATTCAATATAAAAAAATTTAGAAATATTCGGTTCTTATTTGATTTTTTGATTCTTGATTTAGAACAGAGAATCGAACCGTACCTGTCGATTCTCAATTCAGATACCCGTTCGGGTATTTAATTTGACAAAAACCGTCAGGTTCGATTCGATTCGATCGGTTCGATTTAGGAGATTTGCCCAGCCCTAGAAAGATAGAACTACTACTCTTCCTATATATGTATTCAAAAATATCCCTGGCAGCCACATGGTTCATCAATTGGTAATGGATTCTCAACAATGCATATTTTCTAAATGTCAAAATACTCTTGAAAACAAAACCAGCTGAGTGAAATTGAAGATGAATCAATCAATATATTGCCATACAAGATTTCCATTTCTGTGAATGATGTCAAGATCATTGATAAGAAAAACAATCAGAAGGTTCTAGGTAAATTTGATAAAAGTGGCACGATTGCCAATGAAAGCATAAGAAGATAATTATCACATGTATAGTCCTTCTGGAACACCCTCTTTCTTCTTAAACATAACCTTGTCTTTAGCCTTCTTGAAGTCGGCGTGTTTCACCTAAACAAGCATGAAATGAACATTCAAATCATTAACAATAGAGCTTTGGTGAACAAAATAAATCAATCGATCAAGTCCACAATAAGTATGTACTAAATATTGAAGGGGGTAACGGCTCGCTTTGGCTTGTTAAGTCTCAAACTTTTCAATTGCACAAATTTTACTCCATGTTGAATCTCCTTTCTATTTTAGTTGCTTCAAATAAAAATAAAAAAGCCTATTTACCCAAATAAATACTTCTCCAGCTTTCTTTTAAATTTTTTCTAGCAGAAAATGTCACAGCTTACATTAATCATCCTATCTCCCTACCCTGCACAGCAACTTCAAAACCACCATCCAAATCACCACTTCCTTCTATCTCCCTCTCTAACCCACTCCACCCATAGCAAGACCATCACAGATCCACCATTTTAACAATTCTGTGCATAAGCTAGACTAGAGTCGAGCATAAGTTAGACTAGAGTTGATTGGGATACAGGTTGTATGCTTACATTTCAATGGTTGGAAATCAAAACGAGTTGATTGGATATTTGTTCTCTTCTCGCATCAGCAACAAAATCCTAGATCTATTCTCACAACACGTATCCAATTTTCAAGGTGGTTGTTGACATCTTCTAAGGATTATATTTTGTGCATTCAGTAGATTTGACGAGTAAGAGGAGCCGAAAAGCTTTGATGAGAAACTATGAAGGTTGGTGATGGAGGATGGTAACATTTTAGATGCGTAACAGGATTAAATCTGTAAAATCCATTTCATTCAAGATAATTGCTTTTCAATAGATTGTGAACAACATTACTCATTCAATAAATTTAAACTGTAAATCAGCATGGAGTGCCTAGAAAAACATATATTTGGGGGGCAAAATGTCATGATATTAGTAGAAACAGTTGGGTGGAGGAAAATGACCACACGCTCAACTCCCACAAATTTTATTAAAAACTACAACCTTTAAAACCACTTAGAATCACTCTCTCACCACCCAAAAAGATCTAAAATCCTTCTGCCAGCCAATTTTGACGTGTGACTGGTCACTGACGAGATGATTGATGACTTCAGTCTTCATAGATCAAGCTCAATTGCACTGGTAAATTCTAAACCACTTAGAAATACTATAATCCGTAAAACTGCTTCGAATTACTTTCTCCCTGCCCCAAAAGATTCAAAAACTTTCTGCCAGTCGACCTAGACGTGTGGCTCATGAGTTTCAGATGATTGAAGACTTCACTGACAGAACCCATTTGCACTAATAAATTCGACATGGCCACAATATTTACTTCAGATACAATAATGTACCCCCAACCCTTTTTCAAATTTCCCTTCCTCCCACTGATCTATCTGATGCCAAGTAGCCAACAACCCCATTAGTTACCAACCATCTCATATAGGAACTAAATTTGTACAAGTCTGATAAACAGGAAAACTATAAGTCTTCAACCAACTCAAACACTACTGACTCTAAGTAAAACTTAAGACACTGGAAAAATTTATGGACTTTTCTGCCAAAAACTAAATAGATAAATGTGTGTAAAAGTATAATTTCAAAGATTAAAATGAAGTGCCTCACCTTCATACGGCGCTCTCTTAAAGCAAGCAATCCAGCTTCAGTACATATGGCTTTGATATCAGCTCCAGAAAACTCATCTTTAGTCATAACAAATTCCTCTAGATTGACATCATCAGCCAATGTCATCCTTGATGTGTGTATCTATGAAATATAAAAGAAGGTTTGCTCAACAAGTCATCAGAAATGTTGGACCGAGATGAAAATTTCATGCGTACTAATCATGCAATGCTTACTTGGAAAATACGCCTCTTTGTCTTAATATCTGGAAGGGGGAATTCAATCTTCCGGTCTATTCTACCAGGCCGAAGCAGGGCAGGATCAAGACTTTCAATTTTATTTGTTGCAAGAATGACCTTAACATCCCCTCTTGAATCAAAACCATCTAACTGGTTCAGCAGTTCCAACATAGTCCTCTGAATTTCACGTTCACCACCTGAGTGGGCGTCATATCTTTAAAGAGAATTCATCAATAAATAACCATCTGTAACTATCCCTACTATCAGGACACTTGACATTCAAGAATACCTTTTTGTACCAATTGCATCGATTTCATCAATAAAGACGATAGATGGGGAGAGATCATCAGCAACTCTAAAGAGTTCTCTCACCAATTTAGGCCCATCTCCCAGGTACTTCTGAATCAATTCACTTCCAACTACACGCAAGAAGGTTGCTGATGTAGAGTTTGCTACTGCCTGAAAAAAGATTAATAAGAGAAATTTACAAGCAATAATACTTCTTATAAACAATATATAAAGACCTTTGTGAGCAATATATTAATTTTACCAAAAGTATAACAACACTGACCTTTGCAAGCAATGTCTTCCCAGTTCCAGGTTCTCCATAGAGTATGACTCCCTTAGGAGGTTTAATACCAATGTCTTCATATAGTTCAGGGTGAGTCAATGGGAGCTCGACTGCCTCTTTGATCTCTTGGATCTGGGCATCCAGCCCACCAATATCAGCATAGGACTCCAATGGAGCCTTCTCAACCTTCATTACAGACACCATGGGATCAACATCATCTTGAAGAAGTCCAACAACAGAAAGAACCTGCAACAACGTGAATATCCTTAATAAGGCAAAATACAAAATGCTCAATGATCATAGGAATTCTGTTGGTGTTTTTGCAGAGCACCACCCAACAGAACATTTCTAATCACACAAAATAAAGTCCATTCTCACTGAAGGAATTTTGTCGTTTGGCAGATGAGATGGGTTTAATATAGAAATTAACAATTGATTTGTCAACTAAAGGGATTAAATCCACCCCACCCTGTCCTCCACAAAAAAAATAAAATAATAATATATACAAGATGCAGTGTGTTTTCTCTCCAAGCCTCCCTCCCTGAGAGATTGCATGGTGTTTTCAAATTATTTGAACTTATACATTATATGCATTTGTTTCAAGAAGAAGTCATTACATAATACACAAAATAAATCTTAGCACTTGTATAACACCATTACTATTGTCTGGGAACTAATTCAACAGTTTACAGCCCACTTTTCCTAATGTGGCAAGGCAGCAAAGACGGGCCAGATAATTACAGAATTACTTGCTGATTTCATTCAAAATGAAAAACGACTTCAGAACCTGGTGAAAAAACTTTTCAGCTAAATGTTTTTGCAGAGATGATACATCCCCAACGAGTTACTCAGTAATAAATCAAAGCGCACATTGGCAACTAACATGTAACAAACATAGATGCCCATGCATGTAAACAGGATAAATCATTCATAAATGAAGTTCAAAACTCCCATGGAGGTATATATGATATACATCAATACATAAACTTCAAAAGAGTGCTTTCCCTATCACAAACACAGACTACATGACTCTAGAACAAGAGCATATCGTTGAGTGGGTATGTTTACATTCTGGTACACATGAAAAATAACTGTCTAAATACAAATAAATGCAAAATGCTGACATCCATTATTGTTTTACATAACCTATACGCATACTGGACTACTTCATAAAATGTGTCATTTTCGTGCATTAATTCGGGGATGCAATCTAATGGGAAAAATGGCATTTATTCGTACGGAATCATATATGTTCTACACT